TCACTACTCACCTGCGCAACGTGTCTTTTCGTGCAAACGGTCGCCCGCAATAATCGCATTTATGGTTCTTCTCCTTGGCATGGATGCTGGAGTGGTGCCTCTGCAAGTCCGTCCTGCGCACAAACTTCTTCCTGCAGCCCTCGACCTGGCACGGAAATGGATATTCCCGGTTCTTGTCGTGCGTCTCCATGTGCGCCTTGAAGTTGTAGTTCCTGTTGAAGAGCTTGCCGCACCCCGGCACTTCGCACTGGAAATTCGCCTCTTCCAACGTCGTCAGCCGGCGTGGGCTGCGTTTCCGTCGGGAAAGCTCGTGCTGCTGCTGCTGCTGCTGCTGCTGCTGTAGCCGAGATCCGAATGCGACTTCCTGCTGGCCAGCGACAGCCTCGGGGTCTTGACCGTGCGCTTCCGCGTAGAGTTGACCGGGAGCCGGCTCGGATTCGGACCTCGACCAGCTTGACAACGGGGAGCTTCCGAAATATGGCATCGCCGGGTCCATGTATGGCGGGGACGGACGGAGGGAAATAGAGTGTGCGGGCCCCAGAGAAGAGGAGCCGTAACTGGCACTGGCACTGGCACTGGCACTGGCATTATCTTCCATCTGGGGCTTCGGCGTCGAGATTCCCGAGGCACGACTCGATTGTGAAAATGTCGAGACCCGGCGCGAGGACGAGGACTGCTGTGATGGGGCGGCGATCGGCTGTGGGCGCGCCAAACCCAACGGGCGTGGGGCATCTTGGGGATGAAGGGAGGGCCCTAAGCTCGGTGGGCGGCTGGCATGCGGCGGAGTGTAGACGCCATGGTCATAAGGGCCATGAAGAGACGACCCGTACCTCGCGAAAGGGTCGTACTCGGCGAGAGAATAGGACTCGGGGAAAGAGTTGGAGACGGGGCTCTGGGCGGGAATGCTCGAGGCGGACCAGTCTGAAGATGCCTCCGAAGCAGCTGGCAGGTGAGAGCCGGTCCAATCGTGAGGGGCTGCCATGAAGCAAGCAGGTTCAATGATGCAGGCGGGAGGAGCGGCCTTGTAGTAGTGACATGAAAGCGGCGTAGTTTTCAAAAGAGGCAAATTGAGATATACATAGTGTCAATGACATGGCATGCTCGCGAATCTAGAAGCGAGCCCCGGGGATTATGTCTGGTCTGCTGGGGCAGATCGGTCCTTGCAGGTTGCAGGGCACTGCAAGACTTGGTGGGGGGCGCCTGGTTGATGGAGTCCATGAAGAAGAGGCATTGTAAGCAAGGGACAGGGCACTGTGAAGAAGCGCAGTAAGATAAAGTACCTAGACTGTAAGTACCTCCTTAGGCTTGGAAGACATTTTGGAGAGAAAGGGGGAGTGGTCGGTTGTCGAGGAAGTATGGTAGGGGGCAGAGGGGAGTTTGACAGGGTGGCGGGACGACCAAAAATAAAAACTCAAACTATCTAACGAATGGGGGGAAAAAAAAGGATCGTCCACTTCGTATACTTATAAACATTAGCATATCGGACCTCATGGTATTCCCCATTCCTTGTCACCACTCTTTGGCTTGACGCTGATCGACGCTGATCGACGCTCGGTATCTGTCACAGTCAGTGCCCCCGAACTGGCCGGCAGAGCTCCCAAATGTCAGGAGCTAGGAACCGGGAGAGTGTCTGAAAGACTGGTTTCCCAGTCACCGAGCGAGCCCATTGCTTCTACCTAAGCGACAGCAGGAGGAGAGGAGCAGATATTCTGAGTGAGCCGTCGGGGCATTCCCAGAGTTACTTGGAGAGAATGATATGGGCTCCTGAGTGCTGGGAGACGGGAAGATATGATAAACCCCAAGGCTCGGGATACCTACAAAGGTGAGGTGGGGTTGCGTACAACGTAAATGGTTAGAGGCGGATAAGGTAGGCAAGGTTTCTCCCCGGGTAGTAGACCCGATGGTTAATATGGATCGGGAGACCGCGGAAACGCAGCCCAGGAGCCCTGACCGAATGCTGATCAGGGGCTAGTAACGAAGGAATACATGTATAAGGCACGAAGTCTGGATGAATAAGCGCCTCGTAATTACGTAGTAATCATCCCGTACTTCCAGGTCGTCAGAGGAAGCCATGGGCGGGAGAGACACCCAAAACGGCCGCAGTGCTCTGGATCCGGCCGACTTTCTTTTCCCTTTCCCCCCTGCTCCGGGGTAGTTCTCCGCTATCGGTCCTCGGCAACCGTGCCGCCGCGAACCCGGCCGGATGACCAAGCTGTGACTGTCATGGCGCCGAAGCTGCTAGAAAAAACGCTACGGAGTACTTAGCCCAGGACCTGAATCGAGTAACTCGTACGAGGTACGAAGGACGGATACTGCATATGTACGTTGTACGTCGAAGATGTTTGTCGATCAATTGCCGGCAAATACCGAACGAAGGATCAGAGCTCCATTTTACACGGCATGCACCTACAGAAAACGCAGTAGCCGGACGAGGTGCGCCATAAGGCAGCAGCATAGTGTCCAATCAGCTGAGATCCCAAACGGAGAACGATGGGTGATTCGTTGTGGAACGAGAGTTCACGGGTAAAAAAGGGCTGCAGGGGTAGTCGGCTCGGCAACAAACGCGATATCGAGGTTGAAGGTTGAAGATAATTACCTAGATGGGAGGTATGACAAACCCGATATGTTGGATAGATAGCCTCGCAGTTCCAGTGCCGTCTTCTGGGTATATTTCGGGAATCAAGTAACGTGGAACGGACCGCGCTGGGCCACTTCCCACGTTTCGTGTGTCGCCATATTTAGAGTGGCAAACGTGTT